ACACGATGTGGAGAAGCAATTACGACGTGGATCTCTCTCATCGTGGAGAGAGGGACCATGACCCCCAGTGTGCATGTGCGTACGCATGTGTGTCAGAGGTTAGCAGAACATGGTGTTTGACCTCAGTTTCCACCCCGACTAACTCTACTGATTTCATAAATGTGTTTGTAAGATCAGCCATCAGAAAGGATGAATACTTACGATTTACATCGACCTAGATGGAACTGGAGGGGATTATGCTAAGCGAAATCAGTCAAGCAGAGAAAGACAACTATCATATGGTTTCATTCATATGTGGAATATAAGAAACTGTGCGGAGGATCATAAGGAAGGGAGAGAAAACTGAATGGGAAGTCATCAGAGAGGGAGAAAACCATGAGAGACTCTTAACTCTGGGAAATAAACTGAGGGTTGCTGGAGGGAGGTGGGTGGGGGATGGAGTAATTGGGTGATGGGCATTAAGGAGGGCATGTAATGTGATGAGCACTGGGTGTTATTCGCAACTGATGAATTATTGAACACTACATCTGAAACTAATGATGTAGTATATGTTGGCTAATCGAATTTAAATTTAAAAAATGTGTTTGTAAGCAAGTTGTATAAGACACTCAGAAAACAAATAACAAAAAATGTTATTTTGCAGGGAGAGGAAAAGTCATAGAAATGCATCTTTGCTCATTTCCCTTCAGAGCACATGGTCATAGTCCACACATAGTTATGAAAATACCACCTCCCTTACAAGCTTCTCGGACACCAAGCCCCCACAGAATGGTCTCAGCATGCTCTCTCCTGGAGAATGGTGCATGGACTGCTGCAGCCAACTGGTCTACCAGGATTCACTCAGCTGCCGCTCCTGGACACACACCTACCCCTCCCACCCTCCCGTGGCCACGTGGTGTGGCACTACTTGGCTGGCTCCATTTATGTACTCATTTACGTTGGGGGGCAGTTCTCAGTGACAATGCCTATTCAGAGGTCACGTCTTTCCTGAGTTGGACTTCATTCCATCACCAATTCCACCTGTCTAGAGACCCAAATGTGATGGTAAATGCAAGTTTTTGAGCTCCACAGTAGCTGCATGTTAACAGTTAAATGTGTCCAAAACCTAGTTTAAGAAACTCTTAGACTCTGGCCCAGGATTATTCATTGGTCACCCTGAAGTTTTTTAGGTCATGTGAAACTTGCCAGGAAATCCGTATCTTAGACTGTCCCACCCCTAGACCTTGCCTCAGAGTATACACAATCACCAGGTACTTTTGGACTAGAAGCACCAAATCTGTAAGCAAGACTTCCTTAGTGACTGAATCCCCACAGCTGGTGAAGTCCCTACCTTATTCTTTGTTGTCAGTATTTTGTCGTTTATTATTGTTATGTTGGTATGTTATTATGTTGTTACCCCCTGTTATGAGTAAAGAAGAAAAGAATCTTTCTTACTAAATATACTGCAGGGTTACCCTATAATTTGATGACAAATAATTAATACGTCTTTGTAAAAAAACAAAAGTAAGAATTAGCATGATTAGCAATTAATTTCCCCATACAATAATCCAGGGAAGCTCTCCTTGGCGCATTCTGTATGTTCTTGGCTTTTTTACAAGAATACATTCTTACATACTTACAGAATAAAACAAAATGACAAATTAGTAAGATGACAATTTCCACAAAGATGGAGACTATAAACTACCAGGTGGCTAAAAGTAGAAGCAGATTTGATTTGCACCTGTTGCTGGGTCATAGGTTATCACTGTGTGGTATATTTGTAGCTGATGTATTTATTTAAAAACAATAGGGGGGAAATGTAAAAGTTAAAAATTGACAAATAAAATAGGGGCTAATTAGTTACAACTCTGTTTACTAGGCTGTCAGATGAAGGCGAAGGGAACGTTTGGAATGTTTGCAGTACTTCTCCTTACAGAACAAATCTGTGAATTCTGCACTCCAGAGATGGCACAGAAAAATTCAACATGTTTACAAAACCCAGGAGGTCAGATGTCTACTCTGGAGTGTGGTCCAAATAAAGTGGAGCCCAAAGAAGGAACCTCAAGAAAGCTAAATTTGGCAAAGAAATCCTACTTTAAACTAATTTAAGGATTTTAAATCAAGTACGACAAACGCAAAAGATAGAAGCGTCTAAAGGGTTTTTGCCTGATTTTGGCTTTGGGGTCTTTTTGATTTTAAGGGGAATGATTTGTAGGAGAAAAACAAAGTGAAAGTGAGGTGCCTTAACAAGCCGATGAGGCACATCTTAAGTGACCCTCAGACCTTATATCAAGTAGCAGTTGCTTAAAGACCAGTCTCCCTGTTTGGAGATCTGTTTTCTTAAAGGAAAAAAAAAAAGGCGGGGTGGAAGCAGGCAACTGAGCACCAAGCGGATCACGTCAGAAAAGAACAATCTGGATAAGCTGTCCATGACAAGCCCCTTGACTCTGCCCACACAAACTTCTCCTGAGCAGGATCTGAGGAAAAAAATTTATTTTTACGTTTCATAACATTCCTATCCCCAGAGAATGGAGGCAATTAGCTACCTAGAGAGATTTTCTCTTAAGAAAAAAGGGGGTGGGCACCTGGGTGGCTCAGCTGGTTAAGCGTCTGCCTTCAGCTCAGGTCAAGATCCCAGGGTCCTGGGATCGAGCCCCGCATCGGGCTCCCTGCTCAGTGGGAAGCCTGCTTCTCCCTCTCCCACTCCGCCTGCTTGTGCCCTCTCTCTCTCTCTCCTCTCTCACAAATAAATAAATAAAATCTTTAAAAAAAAAAAAAAGAGGCAGGGATGGAATGGGCAGGGGATTGTTTCTGTGCAAAATCAATGGACGTTTGTGGAAGCTGAGCAGATAAAATGACAAGAATGCGCATTTACACTATGCTTAATTTCAAGCCAGGTACTATTCTAAGTGCTTTATGGAATCTAATTTTTGAATCCCCACAACAACCTCGGGGGGTAGGTACTATGATTATCCCCATTTTATCCATAAGCAACAAAGGCACAGAAAGGTCACGTAGCTTGCCCAAGGTCACACTGCAAGAAAGTAGCAGAGCCAGGATTTGATCCCGCTGGTTCTAAGGTCCCTACTATTGATTACCACGGTATATACCACCTCGTGCCAGCAGCCACCCATTCAAACCTCCATCATGTTCCAAGCCTGGGCTCCACATGGAGGATGGAAGATGAATTTCACACAGTCAAGGGAAGAGATAAAACACGCAATGTGTGAGTGGACCTTCAACAGAGGGACACCCAACCCGGCCTGGGGTTGGCAAAGGCCCCCCAGAGGAGATGAGGCCTGTGCTGAGTCTAGACACACAGGAGATAACCAGGCAGGAGGCCGGCAGTGGGGCGAGGGGGGAAGAAACTCGATTTGGGCAGAGGGCACAGCACCTGTACAATTTCCAGGCAGGCAAGAATATGGTTCTCTCAAGGAATGATAACTACTTCAATATGGCTGGCCTGGTGGTACCATGGGTGACAAAGTCGGGGGGGACACCCAGGCAATACCGCAGAGGCACAAATGCCATCGTGAGTGGCCTGTGGCCTGGCTAAGGAGGGTGGACTCATTTGAAAGTCTACAATAAGCAACTGGTGCAATTATACTTTCAGAAACAAAGTGATCGGATCTCATTTCCTAGCTCACTGGCTATCACCGAAGGCCTAGCCAGGAGAGCTGGGAAATGGAAGCAAGAAGACAAGGTAGGAAGATGTTACTGTATTTCAAAAACCGTAACAAGAAACTGCAAAGATGTGCTGGAAGCAAGTGGCCATGAGACGAAGCAACGGGGAATTGCTTAAATCAAGAGCAGATTTGGGGTACATACAGGCAGCACTGTGTTCAGCTCTCCCCTTCCTCCTCCCCTCCCACTCCCCTTGGCCTTTCCTGAAGACGCCCAACTCCCAGGGGCCTTCCTAGAGGCTGTGCCCTTATATTATATCCCAACACTTAACCTTAATATGCTCCAGGGGCTTCAGAAATGCTCAGAACAACGCCTTCCCACTAGGGAAGAAACAAACGCATGCCCTCTCTTCCCTAACTCCCTTGCCCCCCAAATGATTCTTGAAATGCTGGTGTTAATCACTTTGGAAACTTTTCTCCTTTTGCTTATTAGAATTTGCTTACATTCCCGTCAAGGAGCTTTAGGTCCTAACTGGCTTCTATAAGCCTGAAAGTATTTTGAAAGGATTATGATTGAACATGCAATGCACATTCTTGACCTTATTATCTGCTGCTCTCCTGGTCTGGCCAAAGGTCCTCAGAAAGCGCTTTTTTTTTTTTTTTAAACAAAGATCCCCGTGTGTGGGAGCTACAGCTGGACCTTGCCCCTTATTTTCGATGCCTTGTAGAAAGGCCTCTTTAAACTCCAAACTTCCTCAGTCGTGTCCTACAGATTCTTTAACAAAATCATTGCTTTCTTCCCATTTGAAGCGAGGTTGAAATATGACATAAAGGCAGATGATGTTCAAGTCACCCAGCATCTCGTGTTCTTCCAAAACCAGTGTTAAAATGCTCAACAAATATTATAATATTTAAATAAATTTCCACTTTTCTTCCAAATACTAAGGAGGGATACTTTTTTGGAGCTGAAAACATTGGCCAACTGTGGGCCTCTGAAATTTGAGTCCTGGGGAGACCTCTCACATTACAACCTGTTCGCATTTTTTTTTTCCCACTTCAAGTATTAGAGCTTCCTTTGGCATGAATTGCTTTGAACATCAAGAGGGCGTGTCACTTTTTCTTTTCTTCTTCTTTTTTTTTTCATTGATTCTTCAGTAATCTCCGGACTAGAAGGGCCAGTTAGGATTTTCAGAACAAAGGACAGTGGGATGCTGGACCCGCACCCCCACTTCCCCTACGACCCTTACCCGACCTCTTTGTTTCCAAACCATCCTGTCTCCCCAAAACGCTCCTGAAACTCCCCCATGACCCCCAGGCTGTGAATAGAAGCGACAATCAGGACACCTGGAAGACCAAGGCTCAAAAAGCGCTACGAGTTGCGGGGACGGCTCGATTTACCTTCACGAAGAGGGTGATGTCGTGCTCCTGCCGCGGGGCCCCCTCCTCCGACGCCTCGCCGTCCTCCCGGCGGCCGTTCACCCGCGCGGTCTCGTCCCCGCCCTCGACGCTGCCCTCCTCCGCCAGGTGGTTGCTGAGTTCGGCCTCCGGCCCCGCGGCCCCGCTTGGCGCGGCCGCCTCCGCCGGCGCGCCGCTGCTGTCTGGGGGCTCCTCCTCGCCCCCGGCTGCGGCCTGCTCGCCTGGCCCCTCCGGGCCGCGCTCTTGCCTCTCCCCCTCTGCCTCCTCCATCTCCTCCTGGGGTCCACCCTGGTCCCCGTCCTCGACAGCTGCCGCCCTCGCGTCCCCCGGGGCCACTTCCTCCGACTCTTCTGTCCCCGGGGCCCCCGCCTCGTCGGCGGCGGCGCCCGCCGCTGCACCCCGAGGCTCCCCTGCAAGCTCCCCGGGGCCGCACCCCCCAATCTCCGCCGCTGCGGCCTCCGTGGCCTCGGCCTGGAGCTGGGGGCTGGGGTCCCCTCCGTCCCGGGGGTCACCCTCGGCCCCGTGCGCCCCTCCCGCCTGCCCCGCGCCTTCCATGCTGGCCCCCGGCGTGCCGCCTCCGGGTTCCTCCGGCCCTTGCTCCGCTTTCTCCTTCTCCCCGGGGGCCTCGGGCTCCCCGGGCTCCCCCTGAACCTCCCTCGAGGCCTCGCCCTGCGTGCCGCAGCCGGGGCTCGCCTCCTCCACCTGTTCGGCGCCGCTCGCCTCCTCTCCCTGGGGGACCTCGGCGCACCCGGGGGCGCCCTCCTCGGCCTCCGCCTCGCCCTGCGCTGCCCTCGCGCCTTGCGTCTCGGCCCCCGGGCCACTGTCCGCGCCCGGCTCCCGCTCGCCCGCGCACCCTCCGTCGGGATCGGTGCCTTCTGCCCGGTTCACCGCGGCCGTCGCGGCTGCGCCCGCCCCCTCGCTCCTCGGCGCCTCCGCGGCGCCCTCGCTGGCCTCCTCCCGCTCCGCCTCCTGGCCCGCGGCCCCCAGCTCGCCAGGGTTCTCCGCCCGAGGCGCGGGGCCCTCAGGCGGCCCCTGGGGACCTGGGGAGGCCCCCTCCAGCTCCGCGGCCTCGGCCATGGCCGCAGATCCCTGTCCTCCACTGGAGACCCTTCCTCGACACTGCTGATAGAGCCAGTGGCCCTGGGCGAGGAGCTCGGTGCCAGGGGCCCCCTGCGCCCGCTCCAGGAGGACGCCCCGCTCTGGGCTCGGGGGAGGGGGGCCGCCCGGCGGGGCGGAGCGCTGGACCTGGGGGCAAAATGGGCTCGACCCCAAGACACTGCGCCCGTTCGCCCGGTTTAAGCTTTCTGGTATCTTCCTCCACCGTAACTGCGTCTCCCCGGTTACACGTCTGCTTCCCACCCGGACTCTAATTCTGACCCGGGTTCCCTGGTGGCGCGGGCCACGGAGGAGCAGAGCGTGGCTGGGGAAGGCCTCTTAGCTCCCGCACCCTTTGAAATGCCTGGCCTGCCGTCCTGGGGCTGACCAGAAGTCAACCGTGCCAATGCCATCCCCCTGGGGCTTGGGCGGGGTTTGCACCCCCTCCTCTCTCCCTGTTCCAGTGGCCTGGGAGCCTGGCCAATGACAGCCTTTCTCATGGCCCTTTGGATTTCAGTGAAAAGATCCTGGTTCTACTGGCAGCTTGGGTGTTTTCTGTAACTGCATCAAGTTCCAGAGCCGTTTAAATCACCCCCCCCAAACACCCCACACTGGACACCCAAAGACCTAATCACCACTTTCCCCCAGGGACCCAAGCGTTAAGCTTCTCAGCTGGTACCCAATGCAGATGCCCATGTGCTCCCTCAATGTCCAAGAGCAAGTGGGGTAAATCCTGGAAGAAAGGAGAAAGGGAAACCACCTTCCAATTTTTGCAGGCCCTTCCTGCAAGTTCCTGAGGCCCCCATATAGAAGCAAGAGGAGTCGGTTTCGGTTGAGCTGCTCTGACCAGAGATGGGCTCTGTTGTGCATGAGGGGCCCTCTCCTCAAGGTATGACAAGTATGGGGGCCTTATACTGGGGAAAGGTTAGATCCTTCACTCTAAGAGTCTATCTTTCAGATTCTAGGTATTCTAAACCCATGGCTAGTGTTTTAGCCTGAGTTGTGTGTTAAGGGCTTGGGGAGGTGGGGATAGGGAGGTGAAAATACAAGATTTAAAGAGGGGAGCTGTGGAATTTACGGGGTTAGGAACCTCCCGGAATCCCAGACTGGACACCTTTTCCCCAAGAAAAGGAAGTTATGATGAAAATTATGTAGTAAGTTTATTATGAGTTAGGCTGAATCACATGGGTTACAGAGAGGACCCCACTGCCCCGGGAAACCCCAGTCTAAATGTGATGGAGCAGGGAGCCCAACTCAAGACTGATTTGAGTTGTCAGGCTTTTAATGGCTTTGATACTGCCCTGATACACGTTAGTCTATCACGTCCACAGAGGGCTCTGTCATCACTAAAAGATCAGCTGGTATCTTTTGATATGGTTTGAGTCACCCATTTAGCCAACCACCAGGATGCCTCCTTCTAATACTCATTTTCCATCACTGACAGGTGACAAGACAGGAGCCCAGTGTCACCTAGATTCGTGCTACCTTTCTCCAAGGGTGTGCCCTATCGGGAAAGGAAGGGGCCGGCAGCTTCGTCACCACAAAGCACGGCACGCACACATAGAAACTAGACAGAACTGTCAGACACAGACCCTGCTTTGCAAATGCTCCAGTCGCCGGGAAAATCCTGCAGCATTTGCAAAGCGAGACAGCCTTATTTCTTAAGGAAGGACAAAGTCAGCGCCATCAGCCCCAGACAGCAAACACAGTCCAGGACGATGCAAAGCCTGTGAGGCCAGATGTGTTTCAGAAAACAGAATTCTTGGAAATAGAAAGATGGCAGAGTGTATATTATACTTTCCAGTGTATATTATGTAACGCGGTACACGACCCTGTGCTCAGACACGTTATTATTTCTGCAGTGGCACAATTCACATTAGATGCAATATGTAAAAACCATACATAGCTTCAGGGACCGCAGTTCAAGTTCACCACCAAATGAGTTCTGGTCAGTCTGGCTTTGCTTCCAGATGAGGTCCCCCCAAAAGCTGGCAGTTTTCAGAGTTTTTTGGATTTCAGAATGTAAACATGCAGTGTGGTCCTGTGACCCACTGCAGGGCTCTAGGTGTATTTGTTCTACTTGGAAACATCCAAGATTAGTTACATCTATACATTGCTTCTTAATAAACCAACTGTCTCCAGTGCTCTGTTTTCACAAAGAACCAAATTAAAGGCACTTAGGTATGTGAGTAACAATACTCCATGAGCCTTAACTCAAGCAAGGTTTATAGAAATGTCCTGGTTATGGGAAGGTTGGCATCTCTAAAAAACCTCCTTTTGGGGCGCCTGGGTGGCTCAGTCATTAAATGTCTGCCTTCGGCTCAGGTCATGGTCCTAGGATACTGGGATCGGGCCCCACATCGGGCTCCCTGCTCGGCCGGGAGCCTGCTTCTCCCTCTCCCGCTCCCCCTGCTTGTGTTCCCTCCCTCGCTGTCTTTCTCTCTGTCAAATAAATAAATAAAAACCTCCTTTTGAATCAAGCGATAATCAAGAGACAATTAACTCATGGACGCAAACTCAGTACAGTTGACTGGCTGGCTGAAGGCTAGCCCCAGGTAGTGTCCTTGTCGAAAAACAGCAATAAAAAAGTCTATTCTGTCCTAGCAACTGATCCTGCACATCCAACAAAGCTGTTTTATTCTATAGGATTAGGATTTATTCCTGTATACTGTTTAGATTCATTTACTCACATTGACATTGGCTTTCAAAATAACACCAGGCCATTTGTAGAATGTAGACTCTTTCACATTTTAATCATAATCTTAATAAACAATTGTTAAATGTTTACATCACATAATTCTGCAAATTTCTTTTATTTTCTATAATTAAACAAACGTATTATTTTTAAATACATTAAATACTCCAAGCTAAAAATTGGAAAGACAGAGAATAACAGAGCTCTTTACAATTTTTCTGTAATTCCATTACTCATAATAAATACTTTCTTCATTTTTGAGAGAGAGAGACTATTCTAGACACTGGGCATACAGCAACGAACAAAGCCTTGCAGGGCTTTGGGATAGAGCAAAAGTAAATAAGCAAGCAATTAAGCCAGACACCTTTGGATAATGTTCAGCTTTATATAGACTTACACTCTTATACTCACACATGCATATTCTAAAAACCTTAACTCCTTTCACTCACACCCTTCATCCAACCTGCCAATAAATCCTATTATCTCTGCTTTTTAAAACATATCCAGACTCTAACCTCTTCTCTCTACGCCCACAGCTCCCCACTGGACCAAGCCACCATTACCTCCCATCTGGTCCTGGTTTCCCCTTGCTTTTCTTGTCTGTTCTCCACCCCACAATCAGATGACCCCCCTCGAAATCACGAGTCCACCAGGCCACTTTTATGCTGGAATCCTTTCTTTTTTTATTTTTTATTTCTTTTTTTAAAGATTTTGTTTTTAAGTAATCTCTACACCCAACATGGGGCTTGAACCCACAACCCTGAGATCAAGAGTCACATGCTCTACCGACTGAGCCAGCTGGGCATCCCTATGCTTGAAACCTTTCAAAGGCTTCCTGTCTCACACCAAGAAAAAGTCAAGTCCTTATCCATCAAGTATGTATCCTATAAAATCAGGCACCCCAATCTCTTTCTGGTCTCACTGACTTCTTACACATCAGCCTTTCTGCTGTTGCCAGAATTTGCTGGGCATTTGTCTGCCTGGTTGCTCCCTACATCTGTGTAGTTCACCCCTTACCTTGTTGAGATTTACATAAGCTATTTCCTCTAAGCACCCTATTTCACTTTATTATCTTATTTTTGTGGTGATAACATTTAGGATCTACCCTTTTAGCAATATACAATACTATATTAATTAATGGTGACATTGTGGTACCTTAGATCTCCAGAACGTATTCATCTTGCATCACTGAAACTTTGTGCCATTGACCAACACCTACCTACTTCGCCCTCCCCTCCCCAGCCTTTGCTAACCACCGTTCTATTCTCTGTTTATATGAGTTTGACCCTTTAGATTCCACATATAAGTGAGGTCATGCAGTATTGTCTTTCTGTATCTGGCTTATTTCACTTAACAGAATGCCCCATAGGTATCACAAAAGGCAGGTTCCCCTTCTTTTTAAAAACTGAGTAATACTCCATCATGTGTATATAGCATGTTTTCTTCTCCGTTCATCCATCAAAAGATATACACATTGTTTTCATATCCTGACTATTGTGAGTAATGGATAAGCATCCTATTTTAAAGCTCAATTCCTACTCCCTGTCAGCCTTTTCGGCCTTATTTTTCCCATAGTTGTTATCTCCCCATGACATATAATGTATTTTGCTTCTTTATTATCTGTCTCCCCAGTCCCACCCCACTAGGATGCTGGTGCATGAAGCCAGGGGTTTTTGTTGTCAGTGCCTAGGACAGGACTGAGCACGTCATAGCAGAAGCCTACTACCTACTGAGTAATGAATACATGGATGCTTTCAAATACATATGTATCGACTCCAACCAGTTTTCAAAAATACTCACCTCAGTTGGTTTTATACTTTGGGGGACAAGCTAATGTCACAGACACACTGTCCACAGAAATTCTTATCTACTGACTTTGGTGAATACTTCAGCGAATACTTTTAATTATTAGCAAAGGCCAAGTCAGTTCACACACAGAAACACAAAAGGAAATACCAAAGAAACACAATTGTGAAGGTCAAGGTGAAGGTGCTTAGAGGTTTGCACATCGTTAACTCAGCAGTCGGCACCAGATTAGCTATTTAAATACCAAGGAGGGTTAGACAGAGGTGACAGATTTGAGGCTGGGATGCAAGAGACAAATGTACAGGTAATTAAGTAGTTCTTAGTAATTACAGAGCTTGCCTACCATATATTACTAGGAATCACGAAGTAGGATAACTCAGGGATTAACAAGGGAAAACTCAAGGGCTTATAACTAAACAATGTGAAGATTTGTCCTTTTGCTGTTTTTCCATAACAAATGGGCTCACGTCCATAGAGATCT